ACACCACCTTGTCACCAAGGGCCACATCCAGGCCTTCCTGAACACCTCCAGGGAGCCCCTTCCAACTCCCAGTCCCTCTTTTTGGGAGGAAATTCCTCCTCATGGGCAGCCTGGCACAGCTGGGAGCCGTGTCCTCCTGTCCTGTTGTTCCCTGGGAGCAGAGCCTGGCTGCACCCTCCTGTGGGGGTTATGGAGAGCCAGGAGGATAAACACCCCCAGGATAAACACCTCCAGCTCCCTCAGCTGCTCTCACAGCCCTCATGTCCTGTCCCTGGGGATCAGGAAAGGAGCAGGGATTGGTGAGGAGCTGTAGGAATTTAATGAAAAACGAATCCAAAAAACTCAACACAGATTTCCTCCAGGAAAACAAATCCCAATTCCCCTCCTGCTGCTCGGGGTTCACGTTTTGGCTCTCCCTGCTTTCCCCCCGGGGCAGGAGAAGCTGAGGCTGCAGGGGCAGATCACCGAGGGCAGCAACATGATCAAGACCATCGCGTTCGGGCGCTACGAGCTGGACACGTGGTACCACTCGCCCTACCCCGAGGAGTACGCGCGCCTGGGCCGCCTCTACATGTGCGAGTTCTGCCTCAAGTACATGAAGAGCCAGACCATCCTGCGCAGGCACATGGTGAGGGCTGGGGCCTGGGGAGCCTGCTGAGGGGGCAGAGAGAGCTCCTTCCTGTGGGAAATGCTGCTGTGGGGTCAGGGAATGGCTCAATCCTGGTGGAGAGGCTGCTGTGGGGCAGGGAATGTCTCAGTCCTGTTGGAAATGCTGCTGTGGGGTCAGGGAGGGCTCAGTTGTGCTGTGGGGTCAGGGAATGGCTCAGTTCTGCTGGGGAGGCTGCTGTGGGACCAACAAATACCTCATTCCTGCTGGAAGTCCTGCTATGGGGTCAGGGAACAGCTCAGTTCTGCTGGGGAGGCTGCTGTGGGGCAGGGAATGTCTCAGTTGTGCTATGGGGTCAGGGAATGGCTCCTTCCTGTAGGAAATGCTGCTGTGGGGTCAGGGAACAGCTCAGTCCTGCTATGGGGTCAGGGAATGGCTCAATCCTGGTGGAGAGGCTGCTGGGGGTCAGGGAGGGCTCAGTCCTGCTGTGGGACTAGGGAGGGCTCAGTCCTGTTGGGAATGCTGCTGTGGGGTCAAGGGGGGCTCATTCCCACTGGCCACTGACCATGACCCCTGCTCTGGGGTCAGGGAATGGCTCAGTCCTGCTGGGAATGCTGCTGTGGGGTCAGGGAGGGCTCTGTCCCACTGGGAATGGCCCTGCCAGGCTCAGCTCATGCACACGGCAGTGTCTGACACCAGGCTGGCCTGGCTGGGTTGCAGCTCCCTGTCCCTGCAGCAGCTCCCTGTGCTCTGCAGCAGCTCCCTGTGCTCTGCAGCAGTTCCCTGTGCCCTGCAGCAGCTCCCTGTCCCCTGCAGCAGCTCCCTGTCCCTTGCAGCAGCTCCCTGTCCCCTGCAGCAGCTCCCTGTGCCCTGCAGCAGCTCCCTGTGCCCTGCAGCAGCTCCCTGTGCCTGCAAGCAGCTCCCTGTGCCTGCAGCAGCTCCCTGTCCCTTGCAGCAGCTCCCTGTGCCCTGCAGCAGCTCCCTGTCCCTTGCAGCAGCTCCCTGTGCCTGCAGCAGCTCCCTGTCCCCTGCAGCAGCTCCCTGTCCCCTGCAGCAGCTCCCTGTCCCCTGCAGCAGCTCCCTGTGCCCTGCAGCAGCTCCCTGTGCCCTGCAGCAGCTCCCTGTCCCTTGCAGCAGTTCCCTGTCCCCAGGCCAGCAGTGACAGCCCCGTTCTGTCCCTGTCCCAGGCCAAGTGTGTCTGGAAGCACCCGCCGGGGGACGAGATTTACCGCAAGGGCTCCATCTCTGTCTTCGAGGTGGATGGCAAGAAAAACAAGGTGAGTGGCACCAGGG